TATATATCCTCTGTTAATAAGTGTCAACTGTTGGTTACAAAGATAACTCCATTCAAATTGTACTTTACAACGTTTCCACTTCTGAGTCAAAATATTGACCATGTCATATTATTCCCTATCATTTAATTTTGAAGGCATGTTTAAAATCTGTGTGTAAAAATCATCTAACTGCTGGATTTTAGATAAAGAGTGTTTAGCATGAGATCAGAATGAAAAAGCATGTTTGAGAAGCTCTTAACGACAGTTGTGCCAAAAACAAGGTACCATGAGAGAAACACATTGCCTCCAGCAGCCTCACAGGGCAGAGCTAATTAAGCGATCAAGACATTACACCCCTTGCTTAATCGCAGTCTCAATTTAATGATCAATGTGCTACTTCATTTCCCTGAGCCATGCAGTATGGTTCTAATCTACAGTTAAAGTTCCCGTTATCACAGGGATATATTCGCCGGCTAATTCAGACATTTAAGAGACTCTAGCTGAAGTACACTATAGCAATTAACTGGAATTTGTCATAGAAGTGTATAGACACTAAATAATTAATCGGACATCTATACTGAACAAAATTATAAACGCAACACTTTTGTTTTTGCCCCCATTTTTCATGAGCTGAACTCAAAGATCTAAGACTTTTTCCATGTACACAAAAGGCCTATTTCTCTCAAATATTGTTCACAAATCTGTCTAAATCTGTTAGTGAGCACTTCTCCTTTGCCGAGATAATCCATCCACCTCACAGGTGTGGCATATCAAGATGCTGATTAGACAGCATGATTATTGCACAGGTGTGCCTTAGGCTGGCCACAATAAAAGGCCACTCTAAAATGTGCAGTTTTATCACACAGCACAATGCCACAGATGTCGCAAGTTTTGAGGGAGCGTGCAATTGGCATGTTGACTGCAGGAATGTCCACCAGAGCTGTTGCCCGTGAATTAAATGTTAATTTCTCTACCATAAGCCGTCTCCAAAGGCGTTTCAGAGATTTTGCCAGTACATCCAACCAGGTGGCCTCACAACCGCAGACTACGTGTAACCACACCAGCCCAGGACCTCCACATCCAGCATCTTCACCTCCAAGATCGTCTGAGACCAGCCACCCGGACAGCTGCTGCAACAATCGGTTTGAATAACCAAAGAATTTCTGCACAAATTATTCAGCTCATGAAAAATGGGGGCAAAGACAAAAGTGTTGCGTTTGTAATTTTGTTCAGTGTACTTACATTGATGCCCATGTCATGAGTTGTTCTCGGATGGCATATTCAGAAACCAATGCCATACATTTGACAGAATCTACATCACCCAAATGCCACATGGCCAGGCGTTAATAGAAACAGAAAATTAGACACTGGGTGTCTGAAACTTGAGAGCCATAACCTTGACACATCAGGTACTGTTAATAAATCCTCACTGTGTTTCATTCATTGGACAGAGAGCTAATGTAGTATTATAAGAATGCCCATGTCAGAGGACAGATAAAAGTATATGGAGCCCCAATTATGATCCTCCTAAAACATAAAGACTAATATATTTTCATGTATAAAGACCCATTTATACAGTGAAAAATATTACTGAGTAAAATATAATTCTAGAAAATATTTACTTTTCATTAGGTATAGAAAGCAAATATCCACTGTATTGAGTACTGTTTGATGTATAAACCCAGTTTAATAAAATAATTGTTATTAATCCCATGATTTCAGACAAAGGTCAAGATTTGCTAAAAATTTACCTTATATATATTAAAATGAACATATATATATATATATATATATATATATATATATATACGCTATACTTGTTTAAACTACACTGGGGTGAAACACGCCAGGCCAGACATCTTCTCTTCATGGACAAAGGGAAGGCTCTTTTAGCAGGTTGACCAAAAGTCATTTACCATTTAATAAAGGTACTTCACGTAACACTTACACTTACAGAAATAGTTGCTGAGCCTAGATTTAGTATTGGAACTTTAGTCCCCTTCTGACTCACACTTCACATACTTTACATTTAAAAACGGGCGTCAGGTATGTCCTACTTCAAAAAAAAAAAAAAAAAAAAAGGGTA